TTGCATAAAGCTTCAGCCAGTGCTTTTCCTGCTGATTCACCTATTTTATTATTACTTAAATCTAAATTAGTTAAGGTAGTATTTTTGCATAAAGCTTCAGCCAGTGCTTTTCCTGCTGATTCACCTATTTTATTATTACTTAAATCTAAATTAGTTAAGGTAGTATTTTTGCATAAAGCTTCAGCCAGTGCTTTTCCTGCTGATTCACCTATTTTATTATTACTTAAATCTAAATTAGTTAAGGTGATATTTTTGCATAAAGCTTCAGCCAGTGCTTTTCCCGCTGATTCACCTATTATATTATTACTTAAATCTAAATTAATTAAGGTTGTATTTTTGCATAAAGCTTCAGCCAGTGCTTTTCCTGCTAATTCACTTATTAAATTATTACTTAAATCTAAATTATTTAAGGCTGTATTTTTGCATAAAGCTTCAGCCAGTGCTTTTCCTGCTAATTCACTTATTAAATTATTACTTAAATCTAAATTAATTAAGGCTGTATTTTTGCATAAAGCTTCAGCCAGTGCTTTTCCTCCTAGTTCGATATGACTTAAATTCAGGTTAGTTATGGAGGTATTTTTGCACAAAATTTCGGCCAGTGCTTTTGCTTCAACTTCCCACAGTACACTATAACTTAAATTTAAATTAGTTAAGGTGGTATTTGTGCATAAAGCTTCAACCAGCGCTTTTACTCCTGATTCGCCTATTTTATAACGACGATTATAAATTCGACCATATTGACGATAGTAATTATTATTACCACCTAAACATAAATTAGTTAAGGTGGTATTTTTGCATAAAGCATCGGACAGTGCTTTTATTCCTGACTCCTCTATTTTATTATTACTTAAATTTAAATTAATTAAGGTGGTATTTTTTAATAATGCTTCGGATAGTGCTTTTATGGCTTCACTGCCAAATTGATTATTGCTTAAGTTTAAATATATAAGGGTTGAGTTTCTATACAGTGCCTTTGTTAGTGTTGTTACTGCTTCGTCACCAAGATGGTTGTTTTCTAAATTTAAATTTGTTAATGTGTTGTTATTGCCTAGTGCTTCAGCTATTCCTTGCGCTGCCCCAACACATATTGTTTTTGAACTTAAATCCAAGTATTTTAAAATAGGGTTTGTACATGGAGCTTCAACCAGAGCTTTTCCCGCTTCATAACATAATTTACATGGTTTAAATTTAAATTGCTCAAATTGGTAATTTGGCGAGTGTCTTCATTTAATTGAATGATATATGGATTTATTATTTGCGCGTTATTGATGTAAAATAATAAGATTAATATTTCAATTATTATTGATAAGTTTACATAATTAAAGAAAGAGGTATACCATTATTAAGTAATTTTCTTCGTTTTATTTCATCTTATAATTATAGTACGGTAAATAAGCCTAATAATAATACATTATGATCGATAAAATGATCAACATCAAACTTACTATAATCATTTTCATTTCGTAAAACTTCAATAGAGCGTTTTTTTAAAGTTGATAGTTTTATCATTGAATTTAGCTGTTGGTGTTTTTAAAGTGCTCAGGACTGTGCATCCATTTAAATTAGAATATCATTAAATTGTTACTTCAAATTCTCAATACTCAATGTATAAAAAGGATAGTGAACTTATTTACTTACATAATATTAAATAAATCACTGGTAATGTTTTGAAAAGAATCTCTAGAACTTAATGTAGAAGACCTAGAACCTTGAAATAAATTTAAAAGCATAGAATCTATAGTAGGATTTAATAATTTACTGGGAGTTTTAGAATGAGGGTGCATATTTTTAGCAATGGGCCTCCTGATATTAAGTAATTCTTGTCGTTTCTTTTCAGCTTCTTTTATATAACATTTATCTTCATTCCAATATTTAGAATTTACTTCATAATATATTTCATCAATAGTTGGCCTTTTTAAATGATCTGGATACCAGCATTTTTGCATCAAAATAGCCCAACATTGTGGTGTATCATCAGTAATATTTGGTCGTAACGGAAATCTCTCATCACATACATCAAGCATAAGATGTACATCATATGCTCGATCATAGAAAGGGCGGCATCCACTTGTAAGTTCCCACATAATCATTCCCAAACTGAAAATATCTGAACTAAATGAATATTGCTTTTTGTTAAGCACTTCAGGAGCAACATATGGCATAATTCCATATATTTTAGGTTCTAAACTCTCCAAATCATCATTTGCTGGTCGACTAAACCCTAAGTCTGCAATCAAAGAGTTAAAATCAGAATCAGAACCATCGCTTTTCAGATTACCTATTAATATATTTCCATCGTGTATATCGCGGTGTATAATTTTATTTTCATGAATCCACTTAATGCCTGTAACAATATTTCTAAGAAAATCAAGTTTCATTTTCCAAGTCATATCCTTAAAATTATTAGATAAATAATAATTTAGACTTCCGTTAGACATATATGACATTACGAAAATATAATCTTTGGTTTTTGGAAATTGAGACACTCCATAACATTGAACAATGTGGCGCATGTAGGAATTAGGCTGGCTTTTAACAATATTTTGTAACTGTGGCAAAAAAATTTTTTAGAATAATATATTAATGGTTAAAATAAAATTTATCTATTTTTACCTCTTTTAAGAATGTCGAGTTAATATCTTGTGAATCATTGAGAACTTTTAATACAACTGTTTGACTTTACTTCTATTAAAAAAAATTTTTTTTTTTACTCCAACCTGTTATTTTTCCTTTGGTCCATGTGGCGGTATAAATTTCACTAAAACCACCTTTCCCAATTGGTTTTATATTTGTAAATCATTGAATGGGATCCACTCTAATATAAATTTAGCCTGATTATTATGCGTTGCCTTAATTAAACTGTCAATATCCTGATTTCCACTATTAACATTATGGAATTGTGTATAATAACAACCGGCACATAACCTATTCTCATGTACAAGTGTTTTATTTCTATTACAACTGGTGCAATTAGTTTGACAAATAATACATAGCTTATTAAAGTTAGATGTACGATATTTATTGCAGTTTATACATTTGTCGTACACCATGTTAAACTTTATTTTGTGTTGTAAAACGAAATATCCGCACAATAAGTACGATTTACTGTTTTATATATCTGATATAAAATTCTTTAATTACGAGAAAATTATTTTTATGAAACGTAATAAATAATGAAGAATGTACGAGCAATAGAATGAGGTAAAATCAAGCTAATTAAAGTTAAAACAACCTCGTTAAAGGAATAACACTAGAGTCGTTATAAACAATGCCTTTTTATTCTGTGGGAAATAAAATTATTTATGCTTTTATTCCTTAAGGCGTGTCTTTGAATCTTTTTCCATATCGAATGTTTAAGTCTAATCGCCATATTCCTTTTTTTATCTACGTTTAGAAATTTCTAAGAAGTTTCGTACATATTTAGCAAATGCTAATCCAGTCTGGGAATATATCATAATGGGATCGTCTAAAGTCATGTACCCACTTGACTTTTTTTGTAAATCAACCAACCGGGATCGCGAAATTTTGTTTACCCGAAGAAGCTAAAAATAAAGAAAATGAAAAATACGAAAAACGGCAGTCTAAACCTGTCTTGAAGCATTAACAGAAAATGTCGGTGAGATGATTTTACCTGTAAATTTACCCTTTCCCTAACCCCTACCCTAACGCTAAACTATCTCTAATTATGATTTTAATTAAAACTTCGAAAAATCACGTGGGTACATGGCTTTGGCATTCTCCGGATATTGCCGATCACACCTTTATAGAAATAGATTGCTGATCAATTGGTTCTGGAAATTTCAAAAGCATGATCATTGACTAATCATAGCTATGCGTTTTTTATTTCTTTTTATTTAATATATGCAAAAAACAAATTTATGTTCTCATTTACTTTCTTGAAATCAACTTACTATATGCGGGTTATTAAAATTCGTTCCTTTTACTATCCATTCATATATTTTTTAGCAACAAATAGATATATAAAATCTTGTAAAACCCTAGCACGAATACATACCAGTGTAATCCAATTAAATATACGAACTTGTTTGTAGATCCTTCTAGAACCTGATTTTCAAATTTGGTCTGTAATCAGAGATGTATCGGTATGTACGTCGTACGTACGTACAAATTTAATTACAGCTGTTTTCATAAATTCTGGAACAACTGAAAAAATTGTTGATGACCGAATTGATAGGTTTTACCACAAAATCCCGAAAGACATATTCCCGAAAGGACTTAATCCCGACAAAGTTAGCCGGCATTAGTTA